AAAAAAAATAGAGATCAAAGTAATTACTAAAAAAAGTACTCTTTTATATATTAGTAATTTAGTATAAATATTAAATTATAATTTTTTACTTTTTTATTTATGGGTAGAAATTATAATCATTTAATAAAGTTTAAATTTAGGATCGTATATATATTATCTCAATTCATCATTAAATCAATTTTAATAATTCTAATTATAATATTTTTGTTATATAATTATTGTTTTTAATATTAATAATATTATCAATAAGCTAAAATTGATAATTAAACTCTAATTTATTATTCTTATTTGCTAATCATAGAGACTGGTGATAGATCTGTTAGAATAACATTATAACAAAAAATAATAATTTTAATAAAAACAGAAAAAATTGTTGAAACTTAACAAAAAAGTCTTGTCTTGTCAATTATTATTTTTATAAAATTTTATAATATTTATTTATAATTAATAATCACCGATGAATATTAGACAACATACGTTCAATAGGATATTATGAGATCGAACACAACTTAATCTCATATAATTAACTTGTACATAATTGCCTTTTATTTCTACAAAGTTTGAGTTTTTTTTTTCATAATAATTTTGTTACTATATACTAATAATTATATTTCATATTTTATGAATTTTATTATCATTTTAAAATATAACTGAAATTAAAAAACATATAATGCAAAACACTCGGTGTCAGACACAATCCCGAACTTTGTGGACCTTAAAAACTTGGGTGAAACTTGATTACCATGATTTATTGTTACCTAGTTTGATGTTATATATTCCAACTAATATCAATTTGAGTTAGTGAGAGTATTACTGATTTACTCAAGTAGTTAGAGATTAAATTTTTAATTTTCATAAATATAAAAATTCAAATTAAAAGATGAAGTTTACTTATTTAGTGTCTATCAAATTTCATAAAATCTATCTCCATAAAAAAAAAAATTCTATATTCAACGTACTCTGACTAATAGTATACTAATTTTTTGGCCTCAACAACAATCTTTCTCTTATAGATTTAGTAACAAATGCTAAAAAAAAAATTAAAATTCTACAAATATTACTTCATATTTTAAATTATATTTTGACAAACCCTAGTAATAAAAAATATTAAAAACCACATTAGTGACATAATCATGTGAAATTATGTTATCATGGTGTCATTAATGCTTAAAACGAGAGAGTGGAAGCACGACCCGCGTAGAGGTGAGTAGAAAGCGCCACGAATGTTCTACGGCAAGTCCCAACGTGTGGTCGGCTCCGTTTAAAATACGCGCCGCAACTACGCATTGCTATCCGTACGATTTCAACCATTCCGTTACCGTTACCGTCACCCTTGTCATCCTTATCACTCTTCGCTCATACCCAAACACTTCCTTCTCTATATATAACATCCAAACACCCTTCCCCTACTTCATCTAAACCAAAGCACGCACATACCAAACACAAATCATCATTAACAAACAAAAAACATCCAAGCTACACAATTTCACAGCCCAGTTCAACGAAGCCCAACACTCTCAACTCTTTGAGGTGATTTAATCTTTTTTTTTTTAATTTATTTATTTTAATTTTCTGTTTTTTCTTATAGTTATCGTTCTTCAGGGACTTGTCATGTTAATGGACACGTAATGAATAACCCATCACGAGATATGTGTATGTTTTCGTTTTGCCTTTGTTAGCATTCTCGATATTCCAAAGCAATACGACGTCGCTGGTTGTCTGAATTAAACATTTGACTATGTATCTGTTTTCCCTGTCTTTTTATTTTGTTTTATTTTTATTTTGTGTTTGTATTAGTTCTCAATGTTTCAGCGTGCTGCTTCTTTAATTGGATTACTTTTTTTAATTAAAAGGTTTCATCATGGATTTTTTTTTTTTTTTTTACTTAATTTCAGTTATATTACACCATTTTTTATTTCATAGTAGTTTGGCTTGGATGGGGTTTATATGTGGGTTTTGAATTAGGACAGTGATTTCTGGGTTTGGAACAATTTTTTTGCTTTCAATTGTTGAAAACATTTTAATGCTGTATTTGTATGAAATCCACCAACCGGCCAACGGAAGTGGGATCAATTATAAAATAAAAAATATAGATGGTATTGATTTTCATAGTGGTTTACTTTGCCTGCCCCAACACTTTTTCTCCATTTTTATAACACCCGTTTGGGAGATAGGTTTGGATGGTTGCTATTTATAAGTTAGTCTAACCTTAAACTCCTTGAACCCTACACTAATTCGTTCAAAGGATTCAAAGGGGGTTTCTTGAATGTCTTACCCAACCAAACCAAGAAAGCACATTTCCTTACCCTGGAGGTAATTATATATAAAAATTTCCATTCTATTGGATATAGGTCCCCCAAAAAAATACAATGATTGAACGATAGAGTTGATCAAAAAGGTGGTCAAACACTTGTTGGTTGTAAAGCAACTCCTCGTCTACTATTGACTAAAACATTGTGTCTATAACACTTTCCCTTACTCCTCGGGCTGATGTGGATTGCAAGTTTTTGTTTCTTTTTCTTTTCAACTTGTCTGCTTGTATTCTAATAGCCTCATTTCTTTTCCATATTTTTGTAAGTTTGATGGTTCCGTAAGAGTTTCATAATCTTCATGTGGAGATGGTAAAGAAGGATAGAAAAGCTTGAGAAGATGTTGCCACCGTTGGGAACCCTGTTGGAGGAATGCATTACAATCAGAACTACAACATGTTCCTCTCGTTTGTCCACACCAAAAGAAACAACACAAAAGTCATCGAGAAAAGGTCAGAAGGTCGTTAGGCATGCCCTCAACATACTAGGCCGGTGAAGCTGACACCTTCACCAACATTTCTGATCCTCCAACTCCAAACAACCTCCTTACTCCGATAATTTATGGGGAGGGTTTTTTTGGCCAAGGTTTTAATCCTTTGGTCCTATCATTTTACAATAAAGATCTCTGTATACAAGGGGTTCTTGAAGCTAGTTTGGCTTCCTTTTGTGAGCTTTATTCTCGTGCTTGGGTGATTCCCTAGTTTTTAGGGTTCAAATTGACTAAGGTAGAAAGTTGAGGAGAGGAGATCAAGAATTAAAAGGACCTTGAGTTGTCTTCGACATCTCTACGGGAAGCTTTGCAAGTGAATGAAGGGCTTGCCGATGACATTGTTAACCTTCAAAGCAAAGTTATGTCTTAAAGAAAAAGAAGCCAAATTTAATGATCAATGTCCAGCTGCTGAAGAGGCTAACCACAAGCTTTCATGAGAGATGACTGTGCTAAAGGATTCTTTGGCTCAAGTTAACAAAGAATGAGATGAAGGAAGGACCAGAAGACTTGGTGCTAAGAACCTGGTTGAAGGGGCAAAGGTTCTGGTTTATACTGAACATGTGGTTAGGTTTGACAAGGTTGTCTTCCCGGCCATGCTTCTTTGCAACTTGAGTGATATGTCAAGTTTTGACATTGACAAGGATGTTTACCAAGGGAAGTTGGTGGATGTGGATTCAATTTCTTGGCCTACAGTTGATGAGGAAACTTTGAGAACCCATTCCGGCAATGCTGCTGTTGAAACTGGTAGGGAAAATGAAGAAAATGTTGATCTTTATTACTTTTGTATTCTTGGACTGGTGGTGCCCCTTTTTTCACTTTTATACTTTTTGAATTGAATATATTTTCTAGCATTTTATTTTTGTGGTATCTCGGCATGGGAAGGCATTCGGCCTTCATATGTAATGGTATCTCAACCCCGTGTAGGGTATCCAAACTTACTGGGTATGGGGTATTTTCCATTGTGGAGAGGTGTTGAGCCCCATCAGATATGGGTCCTGACTTGCTATTTTCAAATTCAAATGTTCATTTATATGATGGGAATGGGGAATATTTGTGGTGTATTTGTTTGTGCTACTGCTGCCAATAATTGGTGGATCCCCTTGCAGTTTAAAGCAATTAATTTCAAAAATGTAGTTGGAACTGAAGTGAAGTGAACTGAACTCATGCATTTCAGTTCAAGTATGTTATTCAAGTGTGTTCCACAGACTATTCACATATGGTTGAACCAGATTGTAACCCTGCAAAACCGGAGGTCGTTCTGTATTGTTCAAAGTATGAATAAAGTAAATCACGTAGCATGGAGAACTCCTATATAATTTGTTGTTTCCTACATAAAACTATTAATCGGAGCCAAAAGTACATAAAAGTTAGGCAATTAAATGAGAAGGTTGATAAATACCTTGTCGGCTCAGATTTGAGGTTTTCAATCCCTTTTGTTTTAATGCTCCTTTTGTTTATTTATGTTTTAAAACATGTGGAATTTTTTATTAGAGAAAAAATGCATATTCTTGGTTTTTGGTGTTTTCATGTGTCATTTAGATAATTGGTGCCAAAGGAAAGAGTGGTGGAAAAATAATGGCAAGTGTTTTTATTTCTTCTATTCTAACTGTGATAACTGATAAGCCAACACAATTTCTTTGTTCCATTTTATATTACTCAGCACTTGGAAGGTGCGAAGCTTGATGGTGCCAATTTGCTCGGGGCAATCAGATAATACTTGTGCTGACGATGAAAAAATTGGGAAGTGACTATATGGTTATAGAATGTCAATACTTAGAATGTCAATACTAGACAAGTGAACCTGGGAAGTTATAAATTATCCTTTGTTTGACAGTAATTAATAGTGCTGCTCTTGAAGTTGCTCAACGGGCATTGATTTGTGCTTGTGCTGATGATCTTCTCCAACTTGCTGCTGATGTTGTGAGAGAAGCCGTTAAGGCTGTTCTTGTTCATATTTTGTATTGATTGGGTGGTTTGTTGCTTTTCTAATGTATCTAGCAAATTAAAATTTGAATGTTACTATTTATATTATTTTAATAATCTTGTGTAGAGCACATGGTTGATAAAACCTCGTAATAATGAGTGTGATTAGCATGGTCACGTGCTGGGACGGATGCAGTCATATCACTGTGGGCGCAGATGCCCTTACTAAAATTTTACACTTATTTATTTTTATATATATTATTTACTTTTTATAATATATATAAAAATTATATTTTAATTTATTACAAAAAATTGTTAAATAATGACATACATTTATAGAGATATAATATTTATTACTAAAATTGTTTTTACATATACTAAAGATATAATATATGTTGAAATATTATTAAAAAAGTAAATATACACTATAATAATACTTTTTGTGAGTATATGTAACAATTTTTGCAATGATTATTTTTATATCTAATATGTTAAAATATATTAATATTGCATTTATATTTTATTTTATCGCGTAATTTTTTTATTTTATGACAAAATTGTCTTAACTTTTTATTTATTTATCATTATTATGATAATATACTTTAATTTTTTACTTAAAAATTTATTACTTCTTTATTCATTAAAGATGTCACAATTTAATTTACAAATATAGGTTATTTTTTAATTTTAATTTTAATTTTTAATCTTTTTGATTTTGTATATTTACATTATGTGTTAGTAGAAGATGATCCAAATTAAGAAGAATAAGAGTAATTATTACACAAAATTTTTATTTATTTTTTTACTTAAACATATTTAATAAAAAAAATAGGTATTATCATAAAATACTTTTGTAAGAAGGGGATAGTCTGGTTGAGTTCCTATCGAAGAAAAAAGAAGCTGACAAAGAGGTTATGTTGTGCCCTCGATGCAGTGCTGTTTTCGATAGAGTTGCGGCTAAGGCATTCAAAGAATCAGAAATGATGAAGAGCTATAAGGCTGAAAAGCTGCGTGAGAAAGCTAGACTCAACGCTCAGTCGAATGCTGGATTGACTATGAGGCAGGTTCATATGCCCCAATATAATGCTCCAGTAGGGAAGATGGAGATGTATAACTCCTCGAGATTCGGCAATACTTATGTGCCGAATGCGAATGTGCCTGTGGGAAAATGGACCGCTCCACCAAGGCCAACGATGGGAGGCATGGGTCGAGGAAAACAGGTAATGGGTTATGCTGCACACCCAATGCAAGGAATGCCTGGGAAGGCTCCAAATTCGATTACAGGGCCTAATAGAGTTACGACTGGAGGATATGGGCGTGGCTTTCGACAGCCTTTTAACAATCTAACCAAAACTCAGTGGAGGAGACAGCAAAGGATGCGTAAAGCTACCTTTGAAGGTGTCAAAGGAAACCGTTTCTCGATTCCTGTACCGCAGAAAGGGGAATCATCTCGAAAGTTCCTTGAAGACGATGAAGACATGATCACAGACTGTTTCGAGAGTGGGTTTGAGGACTCCCTAGAAGACATTTGCGGGATAGTCTCCATTTTGTCGTCTAAGTATGTTGGGGCCATGGAGGCCGTGAATGAACAAGAGGATATTCTTCGAGAGGACTTCTTCGATGACCCCAACTACGAGTCCAAAATCATATGGGTTAATCAAATCTTGAGGGTTATCCCCAAGTTCAATTCGGCTGTGTTCGACTCTCCCACGGAGAAAATGAAAGGACACCTTAAGCCCCTATTGTTGACATTGATGATCGAGGGGCAAAAGGTGAATAAGGTTTTGGTCGATGGAGGTGCGGCTGTGAACATCCTGCCAAAGACAATGCTAAAGAGGTTTGGGAAGTCCTTGGCTGATTTGAAGCCTCACAACATAATGATCTCTGACTATGCAGGAAAGTCTTCACACCCTGAAGGCATGATTCTGCTTGACGTGCAGATTGGGAGTGTGAAGAGAACCACCATGTTTATAGTGACGTTGTCCAAGGCAAATTAGGCATATGAGATTATGGAAAAAGTGACTGAATATAGCTTAAAGGAAGAATTGGAGGTCATAGAAGGATCGAACCCAAGATGAGTTTTTGCTTTTCTTTTCTTTATGATATTGACATCTCTATGTAAAAACAAATGATGCTGATTAAAAAATTAATATATAAATTATTATTATTATTATTGTAAACTACATAAAATTTACACGGGGAGATTATGTTGTTCCACTTTACAATATATATTTTTTATTCCTTAACCTATAGGTAACAATTTTCAAAAACCAAATATAAGTTAAATGTACTGCAATTAATTAATATGACGAGGACATTACTATCATTTCTTTTCTTCATTAATTGCAAATCAAACAAATGAGGGTATAAATTTTTTTTTCCTGCCATAGTATCTCCAAGTCTATTAAGTCAGAGATTAGTACAGCTCAAAGTACTGTAATTGTTGTCAATTTGAAGATTTGCACGCCACAAAGATTGAACACAGAATAATTCGTTAAATAATTTGTTTGTACAACATACGAGCACAAAAATTTTATCAGTGTGTCAACTTATTTAAAGGAAGGTATAATGAATAACATCTGTTCTTTTCTTCCATTTCTTATATGCGTACAGCCAGTCTATCAAATAAACGCTTAGTGACTAATAAGATAAAAAGATAACAATCGGTTCTCTTAAAATTTTAAAGAAATTAGCATTTTAATTTATATAATGCATAATATAAATATTATTTTATATAATTAAAATTTATAACAAATAATAATGTTTGAAACATATAAATTACATTTTATATTCGTTAAAAATGATTTTATATTATGATATATTTTTAATTATTGATAATTTTTTAAAAATATTGAAATTTAATTTATAAATAAAATTAAAAATAATATATCTAAAAAGATAATATGTAAGAAGAAATTTTCAAAATATCATCTTTGAAGGAAAATTCTTAAAATATTATATTCAAGTATTTTAATTTGTATATAAGGAGAATTATTCAAAAAAATTTAAGCACATTTTTAGAATTTGAGTTTGGACTTATCTCAAGTCCCAAAACTAACTCAAAAGATGAAAATTGCTCCCTCCACTATTACAGATTATTTTAAATATATCAATATTCAATGTTGATCAACACAATGATTATTTATTTGGTTCTCATATTCCGTGAGTAGTTGACACTGTGAGGAATATCTAGAAAGGCTTTTATAGGAAATCACTTTAATTCTATATATCTATTCATTTTGTTTGAAGAAAAAAAAGAACCCAATAAAAAATTGATCTTTCTTTTAGTTGTTGAGTCTCTTTGGATGGTATGCGTGACATTCCAAGTCCGTATTCATATCAGAATCAAAATGATCCTTGTATTAATAAGAAGATCCCTTTAATTGATTATAATCTATTACTTAAATGAAACTAGTTCGTGTGAAATCATATTAAACAATTGATGATACATTTCATATATACCTTGCTTAAAAATTAATCATTGTTTATTAATTATAATTTAGTCTATTTGGATAAATTTATTCAGAAATAATTATAAAAGAAAAAAATAAGAGAAAAAATTGACACAAGTTTCTCTCTAAGTTAAAACTATCATATTCGTAAGTTATAATTAAGATTTTGTAGAAGTTAATGAGAGAGAGTTTCTATAAATTTATTTGTAAACTAATTTTATCTTAAGGAGAAATTTATTTCATTTTTTTTCTTATTTATCTCTCATAGAAATGTTCTTACAAAAGTTTATTTAATCAAACCTATTACCTTACTAATAAGACTATCTTGACAAAATAGTCACATATAAATTTGAGTTAAATTTTACACAAGAGTATCTGCTTATTTTTCAAGAAGAGATGATAAACATAATCAATTTGATTTTATATATGTTAAGAAGATCTATAATAAAAGTCATTTATCTTTTATGGGATACATGGAATGATATTATAACAAAACAACATACTTGCATATATGGTATAAAATGAATAACTGCATTGCATTGATCGAACTGATCCAATTCCAAAAAAATAATTCATATTTTAAAAATAATTAAAACGATTCACTTTATAAAAAGTAATCGATCCATTTTTATAAAATGAATCAGTTTGATTTTGGAATGAATTTTTAAATAGTCTAATCCATGAACACCCTTACCCACACCTCCGTGGGCAAATCCAACATTTTACTTTTGCAATTTTTGTATTTTATTTTGAATTTGATCTGACCCAGATCAGAATTGGAAAGATGGTAGTCCAATAGAGTGAAAACTTGGATCATTTTCTTTGATCTTACGTTTTGCAAATCAACATTTTAACAAGCATCATACACATTCAAATCCAAGATAGAAAAACATAGGTGGTAGATCATATGGTGTGTAGTCATATGGAATATTTGGGGACACAGAAAAAATTTCATAACTCAAAATTCATTACTCCTTGAAATCTTCTTGATATTATACTTGGTTGTTCCGATGATTCAGCCTTTCTTTTTCTTTCTTTTTCTCACAAATGACGCCACTTGTTGGTTTTAAAATAAGAAAGAAAACAAAAAAAAAATGACTCTATCCAAGAATAAACCAATAATCATAGAAATGAGAATACCCAATAAGAATGTATAATGTAAACGCATAAAAAATGCAATAACAAAACAAAAAAGATCAATTGAAAAGAACACAATAGATTTACGTGGTTTAATGAATTTGTCCTACATCCACAAGAGGGAGGAAATTCTACTATTTGAAAATAAGATCAAATTTTTACAACAGAGTAGCTTTTTGCTCTTCTAAAAAATCTTTTGATCTCGTCAATTAGTTCTTTTTTCTCTCTCTCTCTACATATCTTCTTCATTGCTCCAACACATATGTTCTCACTCTTCCGTGCTCACACATAACACTTTTCTCTCATGCTCTCTTTGTGTGTCACACTTAAAAAGGGATCCTCAAACGAATATATATAGGGATTCAAGACACTAAGACCAAGTCTTATAAAATAAAACAAATTAAACCCATTTGATTAATAAAGACATATTATGTATAGTTTGAACCCATCAATCAAATGGAGATACACTGAATGTATAAGAATGTATAAACAAAAAACCTTACAGAATATATAAATTATATATTAGATTTTGAGTCATAATCAACATAAATTAATGGTAGGGAATAAAAAGAATTAATCTATAAGAT